TGAAACCCCACGCCAGAATACCCAAAGGACAAGGTACTGCGGGCTGATCTGGCGTGCACCAAACCATCACGGGGACTACTAGCTGGACTAACTACCAAAGTAACTACCAAAAGGCACAGGAAAGTGGCACCCCAAGGCGACTCTCCTGTGCAAAACGGTTGGGCACAGAACGGGCCTGTTGCCCTCCCGCAGCAATGTCCTTAGGCAGCAATGTCCTTAACCGCTGTCACACCCCCTTCAGGCCACCACACCGCTCCCCTTGGTGCACAGAGAGAAGTATTTAACACTCGCCTATCGGGGCAAAGAGGAATCAGCAAGAACAGAAGCTCAGTTTTCACTCCAAGCTTTCCTCGCCCACTGATGCCGGGCCACAGAGAGAGAAAGGTCACTGGGAAAACCACCACGTGGGTGGCTCAGAGCGCGCATGCTCAGCGGGGTGACCCAGCAGGCACCCACCTGGTACCAGGCGTTGTAGTTATAGGCTGCCTGATTGACTTGCATGTCTCCGTCCATCATCTGGGCTGATGCCAACGTTGGGTCGTCCGTGAGCATTTTCTTTTCATCCGGCTCCTCCGACCTGTGAAGGGAACGGATCCTTGTAAGCAGTACCCGCAGGCCGCAGCCTGAGCGCGTCGGGGGCCCCAGGGGAGAAGGGCCCCAGGGGAGAAGGGCCCGTACTACAGTCAGACCTGGTGCCCTGTCCGAACAGGGCAACAGAATGTCATTTGGAGACAGACGGTAGTACGTCGTGCTGCACAACAGCAGTCTGGTTTCTAAACTGTTCTGGTGCTCAAATGGAGACACGTTTCTGCTCAGGGTAGCAGTCCTGCTTAGCTTTTCTGCAATACGCAGTTCAAAAAGTTATTTTCCAAGACATCTGTTCCCAAATGTTTCAGCCAACAGCACAGCCCCATTTAGTTTATACTTTAAGTGATTAAAAAACAGTGATTTTGTTCTTGAAAGCGGCAGGTTTAAAGCTGAAAAATACACGTGTTTATATATTTTTATATATATATATTTATATATTTTCACAGATTAAAGGAAAAAGCCGCAGTCTGAGGTTGCTCCCTGAACTGTTTTCAAAGCACTTCTGAAGCGCTGTGTATCAGCTACAGCTCGGCGTAGCCTGCATCCAGCGGCACTCAGGTGCACCACCCACCAAGCCATGGTACCCCCTGGGAACAGAGGCCCTACCCGTTCTCCGCTCGCCTCTTCAGGGAATCCTGCTCCTTCAGCAGGGCTTGGTGTTCGTCATAGGCATCCAGCAGCCTGCAGGAGACCAAAAGGAATCGGGCTTTGCTCACCATTTTAAAACACACGAGCAACCACTTTAAAATTCTACTTCAAACTGCAAAAGCACAAAACATTCTAACCCAAACTCAATCGTAACGAAATCTTAATCAGCGACCCACCGTGAAGGAGGGACAGCCAAAAAACTTCCTTCGATTCCGCGGTGCATAGTGAGGAATTTCCTCTTAGCTCAGCAATTCCCAACTTGCTCAACCTCCATCCCACTTCAGGCAGTTCTTTTACAAAGAGGTTTTCTAAAACCGATTTGTGACGGCTCCTTCCAGTGGCCGCGTGCCCTCAGCGGCCTGCGGGTGCCTCCCGCAGCAGCCCGGGTGCGCAGGAACCACCGTTTCTTTACGCCCTGGCAGTGAGCACTACACACACTCCCAACACTCCCCGGGTGGCACCTACAGCCTCTTCCCCGCCAGCCTGGGCAGAACAAGGGGATTTAACGCAGCACACGAGCGCCCGGGCCGACATCCCCTCCAACAGCCAAAGGCCACGGCACCTGCCGCTGCCTGCCGCAGCTGACAGGGCACCACGTGAAAACTGCCGCTCGTGCCAGCGGGGCTCTCGGTGAAAACCGTTTCTGGCGCTTATTCTGTGCTGTGGTGCGGGCTGGGAACGGGAACCTTCACCCCGTTCGGCCTGCCTGAGGT